TATTTCTAACAATTATATAACTTTTAATCGGATATTTTAGGAATGTTTTTAACATCTTGAGATTTATTGTTCATTGTGATGTTCAAAGAACCTTAAATATCAACTTGATCTTTTTAAAATTTCACGAGTGTTTTTAACATTTTTAAATTTCAAATTGCTTTTAATATATTTTTTAAAACTAACATGGATTTATTCTTTGGATCTATTTCTTCATCTTCCTCGTTTCTATAGACTATAATCATTTAATTTAGGATAATATAATGATATTATAAAAAGAGAATTGAGATTTCACGCGTATTTTTTGAATTTAAATTCAAAATTCAAAATAATCATAATGCACATGATCACATGCATGAACATATCATAGTATTAAAATATTCTGATAAGTATAATTTTTAATTAGAAATTTCATAATTATACCTTAATTACGTTTTCAAGTTTAAGGAATCTAATAATACCACCTTAGTGGAACCAAAGAGCCCATGGTTTATATGTAAACAACGGTGTCAGAATTTTTATCAAAAGAGTCCAAAATATAAATAGTAAACACATGAAAAAGTTAAAAGGAATTCAATATATACTTACTATATATACATGAAGATAATAATGTTAATCACATATTAATAATGTAATTTTTCACTGTAGGAGGCTCAGATGAACCTCATCAACCCTACTTGGTGAATCTAGCCCTTAGTTTTATGTGACATGCATTCCTACTCTAACTTTAAGCTAACTATGGTTAAAAATTAAAATAATTGATTGGGTATAAATATTTGGTTCAATTCCTCTAAAATTTCGTACGATGAACGAACGTATAATGAAATAGAACATCGAATCAGAAATATCGACAAATTCTTGTGAGTCCTCATAAAAGTAAATTATGGAATGACAACATTTTCTTAGAAGTGCAAATAACACGATAAATGTTTATCCCTACCTGTTATTTATACCAAATCGATTCAAATTACAAGGTAATTAAATATTTATGCATATTCAATTGCAGATATGAATTTTGGTGTTATATATTTATTGATTTGGTGTAAGCATCGATTGAAGTCTGCAGATATGAATTTTGGATGTATTCGATCTCTCCAATTTCGAAAAGGATTAACTCATACTATTATAAATAAATTTATAATTAGAAGGGAATTAAACTACCCAGGGAAAACTAATATGCTTAGAGGAGAATATTTTATTCTAATTGAGCTAATGCTTAATCAACTTCTCTAAGGACGTTTAATATAATTAAAGTAAAACATAGCCACTAGCATTTGGTTGACATATAGTTAATACCAATACATTTATTTAATATTTATATAAATATTGACACAAATGTGCCATGAATTGACATACAACTATATTAATGTGACATTACTTGACATTTATTTTATCACTAATTGCTTGTTGCAATTTTGGAAAATTAAGTTGAAGCAATAACTTCTTTAAATGAAGCAAATAAATAACTTCTTATAATTTTGGTTGGCAAAAAAAGAAAAATAAGAAATAAATACCAAAAAGAAATTAAAAGATTAAACATATATAGCCCATATGGCCTAAAAAAATGAAAAGATTATTGAGTATGATTCATAAATCCATAGGGTACTAGGTTGTTGGCCATGATTAGGACATCATATACCCCACTTTTTAAACTATATGCATTATGATTTTTATATTGCCCTAACTTAGTAATTTTTGTTTTATAATTATTTGGTATTTGAAAGAGAGCGGAAGTCTTGAAGAAATAGTAAATTGTTTTTATAAAGTTTATATTATTAATATAGATCATATGTTTTAGTAGCTAGTGCACGATAAGTTATTTAGATTTATATTCTTTGAGGTATGATCCTTCTTCATACATTGCGTGATCAATGAAAAATGTGATTTACTATATGAAATTTGAATATTTATTATAGGGATAAAGGTCTGAAAAATACTCCAACTTTGGTCGGATTTGCTGTTGCGATACTAAACTTTCATGAGGACCTATTACCTCCCTAGACTATTTAATACCGTATTTT